ATCCAAATTTCTTTCCTGGGTATTCAAAGAACTTCATAATCCAACTGGACCCACAGTTCTAGCCTCATCTTCTACCATCTCATCCCATGCTGATTTTCTCACCATTTCCCCAAAGCTATGTACTTTTTAAATGGTGAGTCTTCAGTCTCACTGTCTCCTATGCCCAGAATATTCTTGCCACCCCTCTTTGCCAATCAAACCCCTACTCTTTCCTGTCACCTACCTCAGATACCATCTCTTCTGTGATATCCTCAGGCAGTATCTCAGAGCTCAGCACCCTTAACATCTCTTACAGAATTCCCTGAGTAGCATATTTATCTTACAAATGACCTCCCATCTACCTACCATGTAAGAAGGGTTAAATATTTGAGGAATTAATGGATGGCCCCAAATCTGGACTACTGGGTCCTTCTGTCTCTACCCCTAATTGCTAATAATTCCTTTCACTTGGTAACACAAGATCCCAAAGCCTGGAATGATTCCATGTGGCATGCTTCCCCTTACTCTCTATAGCTCAGGGACATTTTCTTCCCCATTTCTCTTCAAAGAAAAAATGAGAGGAGAGTGGAAGTCAGTAAGTTCAACTACCCAGTCAGAATATGGGAGGAGAAAAATGATAGAGCCATAAAATCCAGATTGTAAAGGACCTTCGAGCCCATCTCACCCAAACTGCAGCTTCATGAGGAAACTGGAGCCCAGAAAGGAGAAGAGGTTTGTTCAAGGGCGGCAGCTAGGGAGGGGTAGAAACAGTATCAGAACGCAGGTCCTCTGAGTCCTTACTCAGGTTTCTGGGCCCATCCTGTTGCCGCTAAGCTCTTCTAAGGGATGGGTGTCCCTGCTTCTGGAACCCTGTCTTTCCTGTAATTACCCTCCAAACAGGCTCAGGCTGTCTTCCTGGGACCAGAAAGTTAACAGGCTCAACATGGAAACTTTCTAATGAGCCAATGTCTCTTGCTAATGCAACTCCAGCACTTCAGTTCACCCAGCACCTGGCTGTAACTCCCAGCTGCACCAACTGACTTGGGGCCTTCTAACCAGAGCTTCACCAAATGCAGTAGCTCTTGCTTTGAGCTCCTGTGTCTGCCAACCCCTTTTCTGTATCAGCTACAGAGGCTGCTCCTACACAATTACTCTTTCTTCCCCTCCCTACTCCCTGTGCCTCCCATTTCCTCCCAGTTAGTCATGGTGAGGTCACCCTCAGCCTCTGGCTCCCAGGCTTCTTCCTAAGGCTGGTGTGTATATACACGGAGAGGGGAGTCGAGAGAGTGCAGAGGAGGAGGAGGATGCTGCAAGGCTCCATGGTAAAAAATGGGCTCTGGAGTCAAAGAGACATGGGTTTAAATCCCAGCTCTACCACCTGACCAATTGTGTGAATTTGGGCAAGTTACTTAATCTTTCAAAGCCTTTGTCGAAAAAGGCGGGGCTGCCTGGGAGACAGTTTCCTCACCTGCAAAATGGGGATGCTAACGATTACCTCATTGGTTCGTTGTTATTGTTGTTAGGTGCCGTCGAGTCGCTTCTGACTTATAGCGACACCATGTACAACAGAAGGAAACACTGCTTGGCCCTCGCCATCCTCATGATCGTTGTTATGCTTGAGCCTATTGTTTCGGCCACTGTGTCAATCCATCTCATTGAGGGTCTTCTTCTTTTTCACTGACCCGCTGCCTTACCAAGGATGATGTCCTCTCCAGGGACTGATCCCTCCTGATAACATGAGGGAGGATGAGACGTAGTCTCGCCATTGTTGCTTCTAAGGAGTGTTCTGGATGTACTTCTTCCAAGACAGATTTGTTCATTCTTTTGGCAGTCCATGGTATAGTCAATGTTCTTCACCAACACCACAATTCAAAGGGATCAAATCTTCTTTGGTCTTCCTTATTCGTCATCTAGCTTTCCCATGTATATGAGGCAATTGAAAACACCATGGCTTGGGTTAGGTGCACCGTAGTCTTCAAGGCGACATCTTTGCTTTGTAGTAAGAATTAAATGAGATAGAGTGCCAAAAGCAACTTGCACAGGGCTCAGCGAATGTTCATTTACTTCCCTTGAAAGTGGGGAAAAGTGAAAAGTGGGACCATGACTAGAATCCCTGGGTGGTGCAAACAATTAACGTGCTCTGTTGCTAACCAAAAGTTTGGAGGTTTGAGTCCACCCAGAGGTGCCACAAAGAAAGGCCTGGCAATCTACTTCCAAAAACTCAGCCATTGAAAACTCCATGGAGCACAGTTCTATTCTGACACATGTGGAATCAACTCCACGGTAAGTAGCTGGACTGTCAGTGCAGTGGCCTGAAGCGTCTTGGGTGCCCACCTGTGGCCTAGTGGGTGCTGGTGTGAATGGGAGTGTGTGGGAGTTGGTGTCTGGTGGCATCTGAGTGACAGAAACAGAGGGGGAGGGGAGGAGACTTAGGGACAGGTGCTCTAGTCTGGGTGTGTTTGTGAGCAGCATAAGTGCACAAGTGTGTAAATGAGTGTGACTCGGCTGAGCATCTCTTCCTCCAAAATTCCCCCCTCTTTAAAAGAACGACTTGTCATGTTTACTCCTGTCAGTACTGAAAAATCCAAAATCCCCTCCTAAGGGATGGAGGGAACGACCCACCCCATGGGGCTCATCCATGGGAAACAAACTCAAGTGAGGCCCACTCCTGGCAGAAGCCAGGATATGTTCTTCACGCTGATGAAGAAATCATGTCCCCAGATGTGTTCAGAGGGTCAGGGGCCTCCCTGCAGGCTGCCTGGGGTGGAGGGGCTGCCACCAGCCTTACCCCCAGTGTGAGGGTTTCTCAAGCTGAGCTCTGACAGATTACAGAGACGGCCAAAGCCACCTTGCCTGTGCGGAGGCTACCTCCTTTCTAGGCTGGTGTGGCCATATCTATGCATCTTGGCCAATGGCCGGGGCAGTGAGAGGTGGACCCTGGGCCAGGGGATCATGAGTCCCCAGGGCAGAAAGCACAGGGCACAGGCCACATCCCAATCTGCTTAAGACTCTCCTTTGGGATTGCAGAATCTTTAGGGATATCCTCCTGCCCTTGAGGCAAAACCAGCCAAATTGTCTCTTAGATAAGATCTGTCTCCTTTAAGGTCCTTGAGTGAGAAGCTGAATCCAGTCTCCCTGCTTTGGCAGCTATTCCAGTGTTTAATCAACCTCACTGGCTGGAAGTCCTTTCTCATAGCTAACCTAGACCTCTCTTTAATTGAAGCCTATCTCCAATTTAGGTCTTGAGAGGAGAGGGAGAATAGTTGGCCTTTAACAGTCTAGCTAACTTCCCAGCCTCTTTGATGAGCAAAATTGCAGAATTTTCCTGCCTAAGAGATTCTGGCATAGGATTCAAGGGTATTCCTCTCTCTGACTGTGAAGGGAGTACCCAGAGCTAGCAGCCTTTTAGGAACTATTAGTAGTGACTTCAAATCATTCCACAGATAGAGGAGGAAAAGAATGTGTGTCTGTGTTTGATCTCCAGCCCCACCTCATACTTCTGTCTAAACCTGAACTCAGAATATCAGAGTGGGAAGGAACTCTAGAGATTACACAGTGCATCCCACATTAGAACTGTCTTCTCTCCCTGCTTGCTGTTTCCCTCTCTACCCCACTTTTCTCTGCTTGACAAACTCCTACTCACCCTTCAGAGCTAGACACAATAGCACCTCCTCTATGAAGTCTGCCCTGAGCCCCCAGGCAAAATTAACTATTTCCATTTCTGTTTGACGCCATGCTTTTTACACATCTCTAGTAAGGCATGAATGATCTGTATTATAATTAGTTACCTAAAGGTCTCTCTCCCCTACTAGACTGTGAGTTCCTCCACGGCAAGGACCATGTCTTCATTTTCTTTGAATTCCCATACCTGGCATAGTGTAAATACCCCCTCCCCCCGCACACGCAAACTCACCACACACACACACAAACTTAAGGAATAAATTAATTTTTGGCTGAGAATATTCAGGCTCCTGAAAATTAAGTGACTTGACCAAGGTAATACAGCTAATGAGTGGCAGAAAAGGGACCAGAACCAAAGGGGCTAACTTTGTATCTAATTCTCTGCCTCACTCTGGGGCCTCCCATTATTGCTTGTGTTCAGAGGGTCGGGGCCTCCCTGCAGGCTGCCCAGGGCAGAGAGGCTGCCACCAGGCTCGCCCCCAGTGCAAGGGTTTATTGCCTGTCTACAGCTTAGACTTTCTCCTCCCAATAAACTCACCCATTCCCACCATCTGCTTCTGACATCATACCTTGTCTGAGCCCCCCTCCCCCAGTCTTCCGATTAGCTCTAATCTCAAGGGTAAAGTCCTCACCCTCTGCTTCATGCATCCACCTCCATCCATTCTTTCCAACACCACCTTCCCCCACCCAAAGCCTTCCCTGACAATCTCTAAGCCCACCCAACTTGGTTGTCTTTCAAAGCAACAAGTTTGTGTCTACACTGTCCCCCTGAGCCTGGTTACATACTCATTGGTGAGCTCTTTTTGTTTTACTTGTTCCCTATCTTCTTCCTTTAAATTGGGAGTTCCCTGAGGAAACATGGGCATTTCACCCTTTGTTCCCCACCCCCCCCCAAAAAAAAAAAACCAAACCTGTTGCTGTCAAGTCAATTCCGACTCCTAGCGACCCTGTAGGGGCTCCATAAATTCATCTACACACAGTTGATCCATGCAAACAGACTCAGAAAACTCAGGCTAAGCTTTGACAGGAAAAGAGCTATTGTCTTCAATTTTTGGACCACATCTGACATGGCATGCAGTAAATCCTAAACAGATGCTCTGTTTTTCAGTACTCTTTTGAGGGAATCCTGAAGAGGATATTCCAACATTGGATCATGGGTTGGGGTAGGGGTATGGACTCAGGGTCCTTTAAAGACTTCTTCCAATTCCAAAAGACAGGAATCTATGAATAAGCACCCTCCAACTTTACTTTATCTTCTTTGTATTCCCCACATTTGACATAGTATAGACGACCCCCTTAAATTTATGGAATAAAGGTTTTCTTCTGACCCAAGTACTTACCTGTCTGTTGAAATCTAGGCCATTTCGATTATTTCCTGGAAGAGATGAAACAAGAAAATATTAGTTGTCAGCAGGCCTTGAAGATGCCAAAGGTTCATGGAAAACTAGGATGTTGGGAGGAGCATATCTTTATTTTTAAAAAGAATACCCGCTTCCTCTGTGGCCAGGATTCTCCTGTTGACTCTGTTTCCTAGAAAAGTCGTTGGAAAGTCTCCTCCAGGAAGGCAGATAACCAGGGAAAGTGTTGTCCATGAGGGAAGACCGACTTTTCCAGAGAATTTGCCATACCAGAGTGTTGTGTTGCACATTTTTGTTCCTATGCTACACCCACTCCAATGGCAGCTGTTACACACCCTTCATGGATGAGTGAGAAGAGACCAGCCGTGGATCCTATGGGAATCACTCTAAGGCAAGACACCCTCCCTGACATCCCAGCCCTCCAAGTATAATGACACCTAAATCATGTTAAGTAGACAAGTGTCTGTCCGGATTTTTTTCCTTCCAATTTTTATTTCTTGTTCTGTTCATTTTTGTCCTTTTTCAATAAATGGTGGGCTGAAAAACTAAACTTGTGCTTAACAGAGAAAAGTTGTTGGTACAGAAACAGTATAAAGTAGCACAATAAACACTCTGCTGGCAAGCAAACATAATTAGTGTTTGTATATTTTATGGTCTTTTTTATGTTTGTCTTTCCTTGTAGATATATATCACTCTGTAGAATTTTTTACTCTGATGTTTTCAGTGAGTATCACAAATATTTCTCTTATGCTATTAAGAACTCTTTGTAAACATCATTTTTAATGGCTACATAATATTCCATTATATGGATATACCATGATTTGCTTTAATATATACCTATTGTTGGGGAATTGTTTCAACACTTTGTTATAATAAATTTTCTAATTCATATAGCTCTCCAGGGCAGGAGCTTCCACCCAACCTTCCTTTAGGCCCCATGGATTGTTGGCTGTATAACAGCAAGGAATATGACTATTTATTAGATACTGTATACTTAGAGTGCTTAGCATATAAGAGGAGCTTAAGATATATAGATTGACACAGCTATGGAGGCTTCCTAGACATATCCAAACAACTCATGGGATTGGTTTACTGGGTCAGAAGGCTGGGGATCATAGTTTAAGGGACAACTTAGTCAACTGACATAACATAATTAACAAAGATAATGTTCTACATCCTAGTTAGGTGAGTAGTGTCCGGGGTCTTAAAAGCTTGTGAGCAGCCGTCTAAGATACAACTATTGGTCTCTACTTATTGGAAGCAAAAGAGAATAAAGGAAATCAAAGGCTGAAAGAAGAAACTAGTCAATGGGACTAATAACCCACATGAACCACAGCCTCTTCTGAGACCAGAAGAACTAGATGATGCCCGGTGTCTTAGTTATCTAGTGCTGCTATCACAGAAATACTGCAAGCAGATGGCTTTAACAAAGAGAAATTTATTATCTTGCAGCCTAGTAGGCTAGAAGTCCAAATTCAGGGTGCCAGCTCCAGGTGAAGCCTTTTTCTCTCTGTTGGCTCTGGGGGAAGGTCCTTGTCATCAACCATCCCTGGTTGAGGAGCTTCTCAGCCCAGGAACCCCAGGTTCAAAGGATGCGCTCTGCTCCTGTCACTACTTTCTTGGTGGTATGAGGTCCCCCAACTCCCTGCTCACTTCTCTCTTTTATATCTCAAAGAGATTGACTTTAGATACAACCTAATCTTGTAGATTGAGTCCTGCCTCATTAGCATAACTGCCATTAATCCCACCTCATTAACATTATAGAGGTAGGATTTACAACACATAGGAAAATCATACCAGATGACAAAATGGTGGACAATCACACAATACTGGGAACCATGGACTAGCCAAGCTGACACACATTTTGGGGGGACACAATTCAATCCATAACATCCGGCTACCTTTATCAACCGTTCTGACCAGGGACACAATAGAAGATCCCAGACAGAATGGAAGAAAAATGTAGAACAAAACTCAAATTCCTAAAAAAGGCCAGACCTACTGGACTGATAGAGACTAGAGGAACCCCTGAGACTATCGCCCTAAGGTACCCTTTGAACTTGGAATTGAACCTATTTTTGCAGGTCACCATTCAGCCAAATAATAGATTGGCTTATAAAATAAACAAGATCACCCATGCATACTGTGCTCCCTGGAACAATTAACTATATGAGACCAAACGGTCAACATTTACCCAAAAGCAAAGATGAGAAAGCAAGGAGGGAAAGGGAAGCTAGATCAATGGAAACAGAACAAACAGAATGGAAATAATGAGAATGCTGACACACTGTAAAAATTATAACCAACAGCGCGGAACAATTTGTATAAAAATTGTTAATAGGGAACATAATTTGCTGTGTAAATTTGCATGTAAAATACAATAAAATATTATTTAAAAAAAAAGAATGAGTGCTAGGGAGGAGCTAATCCTGTAGGAGGAAGAGAGTGGAAAAGGAGGAAGAGCCACTAAGGAGCAGGAAAAGGAAGGCCCAATTTAGCCTAAGCAAATGCTACTTCCTCGGTAACTCCATCAAACCTCATTCCCCTACCCCTATCCCAGGAGATTAAAAAAAATGAATAAATGAACAAGTGAATGAACCCAGAACTCTCATAGTCAAAAAAATAATTCTGCTTTTCATCCGATCTTCAATAGCTTTGGAATAAAGTCCACATTTCTTAGCCTGACAGAGAATTCCCCAAATGGCCTGGTTTCTGCCTACCTTTCCTGCTTTGTCTTCTACCACTTACCTCACTCCCTCCCAGTTACCCACAAGCTCCAGACACACAGAATACTCACTGCTCTCCAAACACCCCATGCCTCTACACTCTGTCCCTTTCACAGGGTTGTTCCTTTCCCGTCTGGAATCTGGCGACTCTCCCTACCCATCACGCAGATGGGTCACTTCTTATTTGCCTGCCTGTGTCTCTCTCCACAAGTCTGTGAGACAGCAGGACAGTGACATTCATTTTTGTGTCCTCAGTGGCTACCACACTTCCTAGCGCATAGCAGAGGCTCAAGAAACATCAGCTAACGAATGGGATCTAAGAGAACCTCTGAGGCTTTAACTGAAGCTCCTTTTCCTTTGCTCTGTTCTAAACAACAACAGGCAAACATAGCTCTTTCTGTGTGGCTGTGAGGCGTCTCGGAGAGCAACTGGGCCAGCAAGATGAGAGCAGAGGGGAAAGGGCTACGGGATCCCAGGAAAAAGCAGTATAGTGAGTCACAAAGTGATCTCTGAGTAGAAGCCTGATTTTGAGTTCGGCTAGAAAAGATACGTAAAAGCTGTGCAGGGCTCTAAAGATCAGAAGAGCTCATAGACGAGAATAGCTGTGTGTAAGGGCTTGAACTTAATGGTAAAATTGCTTTTATCTTTTAAAAAACTTCTTTTGAATGAAGAACACCAACGATACAAGGAAAGTATTAGCCCAAGAGACAGACAAGGCTGCATAAACCAGAGACTGCATCATCCTGAGACCAGAAGAACTAGATGGTGCCTGGCTACCACCAATGACCGCCCTGACAGGGAACACAACAGAGAGTCCCTGATGGAGCAGGAGAAAAGTGGGGTGCAAAACTCAAATTCTAGTAAAAACACCAGACTTAATGGTCTGACCGAGACTGGAGGAACCAAACAAATCATGGCCCCCAGACTCTCTGTCAACCCAGAACTAAAACCATTCCCGAGACCAACTCTTCAGACAAAGATTAGACTGAACTATAGGACATAAAATGATACTCATGAAGAGTGTGCTTCTTAGCTTAAGTGGATACATGAGACTAAATGGGCAGCGCCTGTCCGGAGGTGAGATGAAAAGGCAGAGAGGGTCAGGAGCTGGTTGAATGGACACAGGAAATCAGGGGTAGAAAGGAGAAGCATGCTGTCACAGTACAGGGAGAGCAATTAGGGTCACATAACAATGTATGTATAAATTTTTGTATGAGAGACTAACTTGAATTGTAAACTTTCACTTAAAGTACAATTAAAAATAAAATAAAATTAAAATTAAAAACTCCTTTCATGACATTGTAAGGTTGTAAAATTGGTCGAATAAAGAGTCATTTTAAAAGATTTGACAAAAAAGCAAATTCAGCCAACAAATATTTATTTATCACATTCTATGTTCCAGAACGAACAAATCTGTCTTGGAAGAAGTACAACCAGAATGTTCCTTGGAAGCAAGGATGGTGAGACTATGTCTCATATACTTTGGACATGTTGTCAGGAGGAATCAATCCCTGGAGAATGACATTATGCTTGGTAAAGTAGAGGGTCATCATAAAAGAGAAGGACCCTCAATGAGATGGATTGACACAGTGGCTGCAACATTGGGCTTAAGCATAACAATGATTGCAAGGATGGTGCAGGACCAGGCAACGTTTCATTCTGTTGTACATGGGGTTGCTGTGAGTCAGAATTGACTTGACAGCACCTAACAACAACAGCAACATGCTCCAGGCAGGAGTCCCTGGATAATGCAAACAGTTAAAGCACTCAGCTGCTAACCGAAAGGTTGGAGGTAACGAGTTTACCCAGAGGTGCCACGAAGAAAGGCCTGGTGTTCTACTTCTGAAAAATCAGCCATTGAAAAACATATGGACTTCACATTTCCCAGTCTCAGAACTTACTATACAACCATGGTAGTCAAAATGGCCTGGTATTGGTACAATGACAGACACATAGACCAATGGAACAGAATTGAGAACCCAGAAGTAAATCCATCCAGCTGTGGACAGCTGATCTTTGACAAAGGGTGAAAGTCCATTAATAAACAGTGCTGGCAAAACTAAATATCCATTTGCAAAAAAAAGAAACAGGATCCATACCTCACACTATACACAAACTAACTAAAAATGGATCAAAGACGTAAAAGTTAAGCCTAAAACTATAAAGTTCCTGGAAGATAACATATGAACAAAGCTAGGGGTCTTTAATTTATGATATAAATACACTATCAAACATAACTAAAAATGCACAAACAGAAGATAAACTAGATAACTGGGACCTCCTAAAACTTA